CAGCCTTTTTTTAAGTCGCCGACAGTGGTTTTTTACGTTTTTTACCTGCCGGAAATGAAATTGAAAAAAATCCGGAAAATTTGCCACGTAGGAAAGGCGCCCGCTGCCGTGGCCTAGGTTTCTCACTGAAAATCCTCGTCCCCCGGCGGCACCTTTTTTTGAATTTTCTTCCTTTTCAACGCCTTTTTTCGGAGATTTCGGATTTTTTTTGAATTTTTTCGCAATAATATTCGGAAAATAGATAACTTTTAACACATTTTAATGCAATAAAAATTTTTGGTCGGAGTCCCCCTTTAAGCTCAAAGTTGACAATCCAGAAATCTAGCGATTTTTGAACACTTACTAGAAAAAATATCGTTAGATAAAAAAATATCGTTGTTTTATATATTTTTTTTAGGATGATTGCCTACTTGCCCTGTCACAAACAATTCTTGTCAAATGGAGCCCTTTGGGCTCCATTGCTCTGCCTATAAAACATGTGGATAACATATAAAATGGATAAGAAAGAGAGCAAGAGAGAGGGAGAAGCAGAGAAAAAAAAATAGAAATTTCAATGATCACAAAGTTTCAGTTTTCAGAATATTCAGAAAATCTGAAATTGTAGAAATTCAAAAATTTTAAAAATGCCAAAATTTCAGAAAACCTAGAAAGATTCAAAATTCCCGCCAAATCATAATTTAGAGGTTTTCATCCAAATTGCCTAGAATTGACAGTTTCGCCACTTGAAACCCGAAACTCTTCAAAAATTGAATTAAAAAATCAAATAAAAATAAAAGAAAAAGAGAGAAAGAAAGAAAACAAAATTTTCTCTTCTTTTTTTTTTGAAAAGAAAAGAGACGACAAAGAAAAATCAGCGGCAAACAACCAACACAAACGGGGTGGGGACGTCTTTTTTATTTCCAACTACCGAAGAGAGAGTATTAGAAAAGGAGAGAGTGCTAGAGAAAGAGGACGAGAGGGAAGAGACGCAGGAACCTCAAGGTTACTTGTTTACCCCTCGCTTTCTGTTTGAAAATTTTGGGTTTTTTAGGTGTAGAAGGCATAAAAAAGTTGGCAAAGTTGGCAGTTTTTAGGTTTTCAGAGTTTTTTGAAAAAATATTTTCAGTATTATTTTTTTGAATTCCAAAAACTATCGAAAGTTTTCAATTTTTGCCTTTAAAAACTGCTAGAAAAACTCCTAAAACTGAAAATTCAACGAAATTACACAGAATAAACAATTGCGATTCATTACAAGCATCACTACAAAAAAAAAGGAATTGCCCTGAACCAGGATCGAACTGGTGACCTTTAGATCTTCAGTCTAACGCTCTCCCAACTGAGCTATCAAGGCACACGAGAACCAGAGGAGAAGGGGGCGCACATAAACCATTGCGTTCTCTGGTCGGCACGAGGCCGAGGAGACCTCATCAATATTTTTTGTTTTTCAAATTTCGGAAATTAAAAAAAAAAACAAAAAAAAATCAAGACTATTTAGTCCCGCTGAGTGAGAGGTAACAGCCACTTTACAACTTGAAAATGAGAGAGTGTGTGAGAATGAGAGACGCATAGAAATTAGAGAAAAACGGACAGATAAAACACAAAGAGTAGTGTTTAAATGATCATTTGGTTCGAAAGCTTGGGGATTGGAAACGTAAAATTTAAAAAATTAAAAAAAAATCAAAATTTGGTGGCCTAGAAATCTGAAAAAGGCCTAAAATAGAGATGGCCTAGAAAATAGGACTAGTGGCCTAGAAACCGAAAAGAGGCCAAACAGTGAGATGGCCTAGAAAGTCAACATTTGGTGACCTAGAACTCCAAATTGGTGGCCTGAAAATCCAAAAAATGACCTAAAAGTTACATGGCCTAGAAAATAGAAATGGTGACCTACAATTACAAATTGTTGGCCTAGAAATCCAAAATTTGGTGGCCTGGAATTCCAAATTGGTGTCCTAGAACAACTAAAAAGGCTCTACAGTGAGATGGCATAGAAACCCAAATATTGTTGGCCTAGAAAATGAGAAATGGCCTAGAATTTCAAGTTGGTGGCCTAGAAATACAGCATTTGGTGGCCTGGAATTCCAAATTGGTGGTCTAGAAATTCGAAATGGTGGCCTAGAAATCCAAAATTTGGTGGACTATAAAATTAAAAATGGTGGTCTAGAATTACAAATTGTTGGTCTAGAAAGCCAAAGTTCGGCGGCCTAGAAACCCAACATTCGACGACCTAGAAATCCCGAAAACATGAAATTCCACGTTTCCGGGTCAACGAAAATCCAAAATTTGAATTTCGCGCCGAGCCAACACTTTCTGAAGTTTTCTAATTTCTTGATACTTCGAACAAGGAGTCTAACTTGAGAAAGTAAGATTTTTTCCAAAAATTTGAATTTTCAGCAAAATTCCAAAATTTCCAGCTGAATCCAAAAATGTCCGAAACGCCGAAAAAGAGCAGCTCCCCGTCGAAAAACGACGGTAAAACTGACGACTACAAAAAGGCGGTCGCCAAGCAGCGTCGTCTCAAAAAGCTCCGTCAAATGAAGATCAAGGATCGTGCCGGTGACGTCGTCGTCAGTGACGTCTCGGATGTCGACGTGCAGGGCGATGGAGAGGAGGAATCGCAGGATGCGTGGTTGAATGATCTTCTGAAGGCTGATGGTGATGCTCCGTCCGCTTCGAACAGTCCATCTTCTGAGAAGGCTGCTCCAGGGACCAAATTGGTATCCATGGAGACCACCGAAGAGACTTTGGCTTCGAAAATCTGCGCCTTCACCAGCGAAAACTCGGTAGGTGTTCTGAATCCTCCCGTGACGTCTTCACATGCTTCCAGTTCCTTTTGAAGACTCTCCTCGGCGTTGGAATCGTCACCGTGGCACTGACCATCTTCGCACGTCTTCGTAAATGATCATTGAACTATTTTTACAATAAAAATTCGAATATTAAGTCCCTATAAATGTAAAATCGCTATTAAAAATTAAGTCATTTCATGGAGAAGCAATAAGAAAACCATTAAAAAACAAAACAAGAAAAAGAAAACTCTACTCATACATATACGAAACAATCTCATGGAGGTTGTGAAATCTACTTGGAAATCAGTGAAAAAAATGGATTCGAGTACTTTAGAAATCTCATATCTCCCTACTTAAAATGTTACTCCTTAAAATTCCCAATCTAAAATACTCAAATCCAGCATACAATACATTACAATAAGTACAAAATGATGGACCATTTTCTACTAAATATTCAGAATTATTTATTTGCTCTTCGCGAACACTTCTTTCATTCTGTTGAGGGCGGATCCGGCCTTGAACCATTCGATTTGTTGCTCGTTGAATGTGTGGTTCAAGGTCACCTCGACCTTTGATCCATTCTGTTTCTTGAATACTCCGGTCAGTGGCTTTCCTGGGGCGAATGAGTTGAGTCCGACGATCGAGACTTCGTCAGATGGGTCGATTTTGTCGTAGTCGGCTGGGTTGGCGAAAGTAAGTGGGAGCATTCCTTGCTTCTTCAAGTTGGTCTCTGGAAAATATCGAACGTTAGAATTTGGCTTTGGAGTTTTGAGATTTCTGTTCATCAGAAACTTATATAATTTTATTCTGAAGCTCAGAATTTCTGAACACTTTTTATTTTAACTTCTTACCATGAATACGGGCGAACGACTTGACAATGATAGCTCTTCCTCCCAAATGACGTGGCTCAAGAGCGGCATGTTCGCGAGAAGATCCCTCTCCGTAGTTCTCGTCTCCGACAGCAACCCATCTAACTCCGTCAGCCTTGTACTTGCGAGCGGTAGCTGGAACGGCTCCATACTCTCCGGTAACTTGGTTCTTGACCTTGTTCATCTCTCCATTCTCAGCATTGACTGCGGTGAGGAACAAGTTGTTGGAGATGTTGTCCAAGTGTCCACGGTACTTGAGCCATGGTCCAGCTGCAGAGATGTGGTCGGTGGTGCACTTTCCTTTGACCTTGATCAAGATCTTCATGTCAGTCAAATCCTTTCGGTAGCATTCGTAGAATGGTTGGAGGAGGTGAAGTCGATCAGAAGATGGAGAGGGGTCGCCGGATCCCGATCCAGATGGCGCTTGGAAGGTGTCCTATCATGGATCGTATCCCTTTGGTGGCAGGTCAAGTCCGGTTGGTGGC